TTCTCCTTAACCGCTCTTATCCTGAAGCCATGGGGGTGAGTGGTTGTTAGTCAAGTCGGTATTTTACCGAGAATGCCTTTACAAGGGGACCTGTCGGGAAAACGGTGAATCCCCTCGCGGGTGCATGTAATTGGGGTTAGAACCGAGTTGCCACACCCTGTGACGGTCCAGTCGGGTATTAGACGAGTCGAGGGTCTAGTCGGGATTTTACCTAGACGGTATACTAGTTGGGTTTTTACCTAGACGGTATACTAGTCGGGTTTTCACCTAGACGGTACACTAGCCTTCCAGCCCTAAGCCTCAAAGGCGAAAGGGCTTAAGCAACCACTCCTATGAATCGTATCGGAAATAGGCCGGGACGGTACACTTGCCTTCCAACCTTGAGCTTGAAAGGCGAAAGGGCTTAAGCAACCACTCCTATGAATCGTATCGGAAATAGGCCGGGACGGTACAGAGTCATATTGAATAATGTGTTAGTTTTTAATTTTTCTATCTTGTTTCGTCTCCTTTGCCCTTTTCCTCCCAATTTCTCTGATTTGTTCTTCTCCGGAGAATCCTTTGCATCTCACTCATTCCCAAATTCCCAATATGTTTCTCTAATTCTACAAATGGACAAAGCATCCTTTGCTCATTTGTAGAATCAATAACTCATTTCCAAATTCTACCTCATCCCTTTTTCCTTTCTCAATCCCAAGCAAATTTCCACTCTTCCCCACTCCACCCCAAATCACTAATTTCTAGCAAATTCAAACCACCACAAATTAAGTGAGCCAACATAAATATTAGTGCATTCTGTTATCTATTTCTGCAGTTACAAACCTTTAAAGGTTTTGTCTTTGTGACATTAATGGAGTTTGAAAGGTTATGGAAACATCAATCCAATCATTCCCAATCGATGAATTCGTAACCCGTTACATACCAAAAATTTGTTACTCAGCTTACATCGGATAAAGCTTTCTTACTCCAAAATTGACCAAAGTTGACCGATGCGCACCTCATTGTACACTGACAAAGATAATGGCAGAAACAAAAAATAGTACTACGCAAAAGGTGCAAGATGAACATCAATCATCTCTTATCATATCATTCTTATTCAATGGTAAAAGATTTATATCTTGATACGACTATGTCGATGAAGCTCCTATTTTACTACTAGAATTTCTCTTATTAGATGTGATTTTTTCTGCAAAGTTTTATGAAAAATTTGCAGGAAATGTTGTTCTTAACTACGAAATTTTTTTTGCGGTAATACCTTCGTGGATAATACATTTTTGCTAATTTTAAAATTCGCAGGAAAATTTCTTATGAAAAAATTTGCAGGAAAGTTTCTTGTAAAAAAAATTGCAAGAAATTCTGCAGGGAAATTTTTTATGAAAAAAATTAAAGAAATTACTATAAATTCTATCAATAATTTTTCAACTTTTAAAGGCTCACAATGAATTCATCTGAAACATTTGTTTCCATGCCTCCAACATGTGATGTGATACATAATCTTTTAAATTCTAAGATTGTAGATTATAAGCCTAAACTCAACCATACAAATCAAGTTGTAAGGAAAGTGTTGTCCAAACTTATATACTCTTTAATTGTTTTGTTTTCAATCGATGTGGGACTTGAAATTTTTTTAAAAATATTAAACTTATAAATTTAAATGTTGTTATTTTTCCTGTGGATTAAAATTTGTAGAAAAATTCGCAAAAAAAGTTACCTGCAAAATTTTTCTATCATTTAGTAAACATTACTTGCAAATTTATTTTTGCAAGAAAATCTGCAAGAAATAAAATAAAATACTTATAATATTTTCTACAAATTTTTACCATGGAAAAAATTTATATGATAATTAAAATTGTAGCAAAATTTGTAAGAAATATCCGTAAATTATTTTTCGCAAAAAAATTTTTGCGAATATTTTTTTGCAAGAAAATTCGCAAAAAATTTCTGTTAATATTTTACAGGAAAATAACACTTTTCTAGTAGTGTTTTATGATCAATTATGAGTTTTAAATGAATTTGTTTTCTATTTATTTCTTTTTCACATTTGTTTTTGTCTTACATACTATTGGGTTGTGAAACTTCTAGTCGTGTGAATATTAAGTCCAATATTATACGTATAAAATAATTATGTACATTATATCATTAATATTATTATATATAAAATAAAAGAAAATTGTATGAACTTGCTTACATATAGTACTTTATATTTACATCACATATTAAACAAATATATTTACAATAATGTACATACTTATAAACTACTTATTTCTTACACTATTTTTATAATATTTACATATTTGTTTGATCATACAAGTTCACAATAGGATTGACATGGTTTGTTGGAGATAAGAAAAAGGTGACCACTATCGGTCCATCAATAACGATAGGAATTTCTTGAGTAGTTGTTGGTTGGAGGTAAGAAAAAGGTGACCACTATCGGTCCATCAATAACGATAGAAATTTCTTGAGTAGGAGAAAATATAAAAGTTGATAGTGTCAATTCTTGAAAAGTGACTGAGTTGGCGACAACATCTATAGACCAAGTGGTTCTTGGAAATACCGCGAAGATGATGAAAGTGAAAGGTCTTGGAAGTGTCGGTAGGTCCATCTATTTTTTTATTATAATTAATTAAATTTTTAAACAAGAAACATAAGGAGTGAGAACAATTTTCAAATAAATATTTATAATCAAATAACATGCATATCAATAGTTAATACTAGAAAATATATTAATGATACTTAACATAAAAATTTGAATTATACTTATAGTGATTAGTCAAGATAAATGAATATTATAATAATAAATAACTAAAAGTTATATCACCTTAAATCTTTACTCATGTAAATCCCCATGGTAAACCTCCAACTAAAAATTAATTCAAACTTATTATTATGGCCATAAAATAATTTTATCAATAAGATGAATTTAAGATATTTTCAATAAAATTATATTATAATTAATATTAATATCAAAAGATTACTTGAACTAAATTACATAAATGGAATGTATTAGAGAATATTAATCAAATAATTAACATTGATAAATATCATAAAATAATTAAACAACACAAACTAGGAACACCTCATTAATTATTATGAGTAAAAATTATCATAGATTAAGCAAATAAATGAGGTTAAGGACACCTCACTAAATAAATATACACAAAATATAACATAATTAAATAAACATAATAACATATAAAATTTTAAAAAGATAAAGTTCTATTCCCCTTTACCAAGATTATTTTTATCTTTCTCTCTTTTCTTTCTTTCTCTCACTTCTCACTTTTCTCTTTCTTTAAAAGTTCCCTGTCCACTTCTCACTTTTCTCTTTTTTTAACGTGTGAACAACCTTCAATTTTTTTTTTTGGTGGATAAACGAGCCAGAATCTAATTTTTTCTAATACATTTCAAATTGAGGTTTTCCTAATGTAGTCATTGTTGATAAAAAAAAAATCTAACGATCGGATCCTTTATTCTTGAATTGGAGATGAATACAACAAAAAAAAAATATCAAGTTGAATATATATATACCAAATGTAACGCCCAAATTCTAATACCCAATTTATACAATAAAGTTTCTCAAATTGTTCAAGCTTCACTGCGTTAGTCATTATATCATCCACCTATTCCTGTGTATTACAATATTTCAATTGAACAACGTGATCATTTACGAGATCTCTAAGAAATTGAAATTTTACTACAATGTGCTTACTATGTCCATGAAAGACAGGATTTTTGGACAGCTGAATAGTGGAGTTGTTATCGCATAGAATTGTGATTGATTCCTTTCTTTTGATCCCAATATGTTCTAAAATTCTGTGAAGCCAAATGCAATGACAGGCACATGCTACTGCAGCTATATATTCTGCCTCTGTAGTTGATAAGCTAACTACTGACTACTTTTTCAAATCCCATGATACAGCCCCTGATCCTATATATTATGAATACTGCTCCAGAAGTGCTTTGTCTGTCAACCAAATCCCGAGCATAGTTACTGTCACTATAGCTTGTGATTTCAGTCTTTCCTCCCTTTTATTCCTTTGTTCATGATGTTCAATAAATGGAGTCTGAAGTTGGGTGAGGGGTTATTATAATTGCATGAAACGATGCTCATCTCCCTCTAATGTCATTTCTATAAAAAGGTAAAGGGGGAATGTGTATTCTTCACTCACTTTCTCATTTTCTCTGAATCTTTCTTCTTCATGGGTCACCTTCCTGTCACTAACCAACCCCACAAGGTGTTAAAAACTCAGAACACAACTTGTGCACACACTGTTTGTGAATAGAGAATACTTTGATGTTTATTCAATTGAAAGAGCATGACTTTTATAAGCCTTTACATGCATAAGATAAAAATTAAATCTACGTACATGGCTACAAAGTAGGCCACGCACACCTACGTACATGGCTACAAAATAGGCCACGCACACCTAGGCAAACCTAAACAATAGCTAACTGATAGACTAGTTCAACCCTGAGAAATAGGGCTTTATTTAAAAAATGCAAAAACAATCCAACAATCCCTCCTTTAAGCTCTAGCTTACTATAGTAATATCAACTACTCCAAGCATTTGTTGAAGTTTCTCAAATTGTTCAAGCTTCACTGCCTTAGTCATTATATCCGCCACCTGTTCCTGAATATTGCTATATTTCAATTGAACAACGTGATCATTTACGAGATCTCTAAGAAAGTAAAATTTTACTGCAATGTGGTTACTACGTCCATGAAAGACAGGATTTTTGGACAGCTGAATAGTGGAGTTGTTATCGCATAGAATTGTGATTGATTCCTTTCTTTCGATCCCAATATGTTCTAAAATTCTGTGACGCCAAATGCATTGACAGGCACATGCTGCTGCAGCTATATTTTTTGCCTCTGTAGTTGATAAGCTAACTACTGACTACTTTTTCAAATCCCATGATACAGCCCCTGATCCTTGTCGCCACCCGCCGAAACGGACATTGGCATTCGCGACGATGGTTGGACTCTTTTTAGTTTTAAAAAATGATGGATTGTTAGAACAACTTATTCTCAAACTGAGACCTCATCGAACTAACAATTTTGTTAAATAATTCTCACCAATCCGTATTAATCCCAAACGGGACCCTCCATGGATTAGTGGTTTTCGCAAAAAGGGGTTCTTGGAGTCGCCACCAATGTTTTACTCAAAACATTGGAAAAAGACATAAGGCAATTGATTTTCGCAAATCAACTTTGGCCATTACAACCAGAGTTTGGGTAAGGGAGTCGATTACGTGTGGGGAAGGTGTTAGCACCCCACAACGCCCCTTTCGGGTTCCCTATGACAG